CCTCAGTTGCATTAGATCCCACATAATTTGTGTAGTTGTTCTGCCGCAGATAGCCTTATTTTATGATATGGGAAAGAAAATGTCGTTTGGGAAATTTAGTAGCGGTTACATTTGTAGTTTCTCATTGTTTTCTTCTGTTTTAGGTTCTGTCTAAAAAGCACTATATTCTATTGACCAGTAAGTGCTCAAATTGCATAATACATGCTCAAAATCAATGGTGTTTGGGGAGGAGGAGGAGGAGGAGTGGGAATAGGGATATGCAGCCTGTTCTCTGGAATTTATTTATTTGACTTGCTTAGTTCAAAAGTGTGTATCAACTGGGCAGGCTGGGGAATGCCCATAACCCCAGAGATTCTAGAGGTTGAGGCAGAAGGATTCCGAGTTCAAAATCAGACTGTGTAATTTAGCAAGACCCTGTCTCAAAATAAAAAGGAAAAAGGGCTGTGGGTATAGCTCAGTTCAATCCCCAGTTCCCCCGCCAAATAGCATGGATTATTGTTTGTTCTTCAGACCTGTAATGTCTATTCAGAGCAGGAGAGCCCTCTTATTTCAGTTCAGAAGAAGGTCTTATACATGTTTCCAAATAGCATGTGTGCCACACACAGGAGGTACACCTGTCAGCGGGAGGTTCACAGTGCACTAAGGACTTGGGCATGCTGGTCCAGGACTGCTAGTTCACTGGCTTGCTGTGAGGGCCAGCCACTGCTTTAAAGGTGTCCTGCTGTGTCCTCCCTATTTCCGCCTCCTGGGGAACATTTACTTTACCATATCTGGCACATCTAGGATTAGACTTGCCACCTTGTTCTCCCCTCCTCTGTCCACCCCAGTAACGCTGGCAACGTAAGTTTGCCTTCTGCTCCGTCTTTAAATCTTAGAGTCTCTTTCAAATGCTTCACTTCATTTTTCAGACACTTATTTCTCTGCAGTAATGGGGAGTGAACCCAGGGCCTCACGCAGACTAGGTAAGTTCTCTGCCACCGAGTCTTTTTTTGTGTCCCCCAAGTTATTAGCATTTGGGACTGCTGGCAGGATGGATGGTTCTGCTTGACCTTTGGTGGTAGGCAGCCCTGGGTTCTGGCCCCGCTTGTACCACTTAATAGCTGTGCTCTTTGGGAAAATTAGTTTACCTCCCTGTTTCCTCATCTGTAGTAAAGTGGGGATGATATTTACTTTAGGGGATAGTTATAAGAACCAAATATATTATTAAATATGACTAGAGTGTCACAAGCATCCCTAGCTGGCAGTGGGTGCTACTGTTGTTATTAACGCTGGCTCTTCCACATCCTTCCTTCCTTCCTTTGTCACCTGGTCCAGGTTCTTGGCCCTTCCCTCTTTCATCAGTGCCACAACTGCTTTGCAAATCTCCTGTGTTCCCCAGTCTGTCTTGCCAGACTTAAAGTTGGTTCTTTAACACTTGATTTTTATTATCATACTAAAAAAATGTTAGGAGTTTCTGAATCCATCATCTCAACTCTGGGATCCAGCTTTCCAGACTAGATGAGTTACTTAGTAATAAGTCACTCGTTTATTCAGTTGAGCCTCCTCATACTCCTCCTCGTGTGTCTGCATTCACCCTGCTCTCCCAGCCCCAGTCCAACTACTATGCTCATTGCATTGCATCAGGGTGATTCTTTCAAAGCAGACCATCTCCCCCACCTCTTTCTCTCTCACATAATCTCTCTCTCTCTCTCTCTCTCTCTCTC